AAGAAGGTGATGATGATCTGAAATTCGGAGCTGTCGACTGGCGTAAATGGGGTTTGGTTACTCAAGTGAAAAGTCAGGTAACAATCAGCAGGAATTCTTCCGTTAATTATTACTTGTCAAAACTAAGTCTGAAAAAGTCTTGAAGTTATCATGAGCTTGTCTCAACTGGTAAGCAAGGTTAATTTACAGTTTCAGATCCTATTTCCAGGTCAAGTGGATGCAGAGTCAAACCTGACCTTCCATCTGATCGATGGGGCTGTTGCCTTCACATGAAATCACAGCCATAGCAATAGTACACAGAGACAATGTTAATGAAGTATAAAGCGAGTTGAAGAATTTCTAATTTGAAATCAAACAGGACAATAATCAAAGTGGAATTAAAAGAAAAAGGACAGTGTTAAACTGGGAACATGGTACAACTTTAAGTTGAAGATTGTAGTTGAAACCAAAAGTGTTGATAAACACCAGACTGGCATCCTGAGCAGAGATAACAGGAGTGCAAGGGACGACAGTCTGGCACTTTGCAAGATCTCTTACAATTTTCAGCTCATTTACAGTGTGTTATAAAGGTTGGCTCCCTTCTGAGAACTAAAGCTGAAACACCCAAAAAGGAACACTTCATCCTATAACCTGTCAAAGGATTGTAAAAAGTGGTGTAACTTGCCCTTCAGCTACTTCTAGTGGTTAGATAAAATAAATCCTTGACACTCACTTTACAATCAACAAGGAACAATTTATTTATCCAACTCTAACAGTGAGCAAATTAAAAATCTATTAACAAACTGAATAAACTCCTTTTAACTACTAACTATTCCCAAATAAAACCAGATTCTAATAGTATGCTGTTCCAATAAATAAATGTCCCATTTATATATATAAAAAAGAATTTAGTCTCTTGAAATTACAGTCAGGTTATGTGTCTTCTGTGCCGCCTTCGTCAACTCTTCTGTCAGGAATGCCTTCTCCATCGATTCTTCTGTCAGGAATGTTAACTAGTTGTGCCGTGGGTATCATTGCCATTTAGATAGCGCTTTCTCTAAGACATAGAGGAGGCTGTGAGACCCAGTGATTCTCTCTTGAAAGCTGAGGACTGTTAGCTCTGGCTGATGAAAGTTATCTCTGAGCTTTGTCCAACAGCCCCCTTCTCTTATACCCTCAATGACATATCAATATTTCTTACAATGGGATTGGTCCTATGTTGTCAAAACCAGCAGATTTAAATTTAATTGTTTTTTGATACCTAAGTGCCTGGTTCAAATTGATTGGCTTGCTAAAAACTGCTGCTTGGCCTGCTAATTGTACAGCCTTTCTGTACAAATGTTTTAATTCGGGTGCTCTCTGTGTACTTGTAAACTTTCAAACTGCTGCTCATAAACCTTCATTTTAAATCTCTAAGCACAGAAAAAGCACACCATCATTTAAAAGGACCACACCGTGTTTCCTCCCCAGCGTTTTACAAACACCAAATTCTAACTTCTTGCCTCCCAATCCACCAGTATTCTACCCAACTTCACAACAAGTTGTTGGGCTGAAGGCTGTTGGTGCTAAAGGCAGAACACACCAGCACCTTCCTGAGTCAGAGATTCGGTAAAGCTCCCCTTTCTCTTTGTTCAGTGTGCTTAGCAACAGCCTCACACGTGCTCTAATTTGTCTTTTCCATCTCTCACAGCACACTTCATCAGAGTTTGTCTTCTTTTTGAGCTCACTGTCATTTTTTTTTCATTTTCTTTGGATATTGTTGAGGCCGCTTCTGGAATATTGCATCCAGTTCTGGTCGCCCCGTTATAGGAGGGATAGTATTAAGTATTGACACATTTGTGGTGCAAATATAACTTGCTACTTATCAGCCCAAGCCTAGAACTTGATCACGTTTTGATGTGTATGCAGACAGGCTGCTTCAGTATCTGAAGAGCTGTGAATCTGTAAACATCAGCAAACATACCCATTTCTGACCTGAGGATAGAGGATGGCTAGATCTAGGACATTACTCCAGGGAGTTCCTGCAGACCTTTCCTGAGACTGAGATTATGAACTTCTAACAATCAGGACCATCTTTCTTTTTGCCAGGTATGACTCCAACCAATGGAGACCTTTTCCCCCGGTTCCCATTGATTCCAGTTTTGTGAGGACCTCTTGGTGCCCCACTCAGTCATATGTGGCCTTGAAGTCAAAGGCAGTCACTCTCACCTCAACTCAGGAGTTCAGTTCTTTTGTTCATTTTTAAGCCAAGGCTGTAATGAGGCCAGAAGTTGAGTGGTCCTGGCAGAACTCAAACTGGGTATCACTGAGCAGGTTATTGTTGAGCAGGTGCTGCTTGATAGCGCTGTTAATGATACCTTCCATCACTTTATTGATGATCCTGAGTATACCTGCAGGCTAGTGATTGGCTGGGTTATATTTATCCTTTTTTTAAAAATTGGATAAGACATACCTGGACTATTCTTCGTATTGTTGGTTTGATGTCAGTGTTAATGTTGTATTGGAACGTTATGGTTGTGGGACAAGGTCTGGAGTCCATGTTTTCAGCACTATGGCTAGAACATTCTCAGAACCTTTGCACTGTTCGTTGCCTTCAGCTGCTTCTTTTATCACACGGAGTGAATCAAATTGATTCAAGTATAACATCCATGTAGCTCAACCCTCAGGATAAATTGAGGTGGAGCAGCTATTCAGCACTTCTGGCTGAAGAAGATTGGAAATGCTTCAGCCTTATCTTTGCCGTATGTGCTGGACTCCCCCATTGTGGAGGATTGTAAAGCCTCCTTATCCAGTTCATTAAAAACCAAAAGAACTGCAGATGCTGTAAAGCAGAAACAAAAACAGAAATTGCCGGAAAAGCTCATCAGGTCTGGCAGCATCTGTGCAGAAGAATCAGTTAACATTCCGAGTTGAGTGACCTTTCCTCAGTACTCCATCCAGTTCTGAGGAAAGGTCACTCAACTCGGAATGTTAACTGATTCTTCTGCACAGATGCTGGCAGATCTGATGAGCTTTTCCAACAATTTCTGCTTTTTACCCTCCAGTTAATTGTTTAATTGTCCAACAGCATGCAGGGCCTCAGAGCTTAGATCTGGTGCATTGTGGGATTGATAAGCCCTGTCTATGTCATGCTGGATTTGCCATTAGGCAAGCCATTATCTTTCTGTTGTAGCTTCACAAGTTTGACACCTTCTTTGTGGGGTACACCTGGTGCTACTCTTGGCATGCTCTCCTGTACTCATTGAACCATCCTGATGATAATGGTAGAATGCAGGATATGCAGTGCCAGGAGGTTATGGGTTGTGGCTGGATACAATTTTGCTGCTGCTGATGGTCCACAGTGCCTTGTAGTTGCTCTGTTCTAAGTTGCTAGGTCTGTTCGAAATCTAGTCAAATAACACAATGGTGGGTATCTTCAGTGTGAAGATGGCTCTGGGCCTCCACGAAGTTTATGCAATGGTTAACCCTATCAATATTATCATGGACAGATATATCTGTAACCGATAGATTAGTGAGGATGAGGTCAATTAGGTTGTCCCTTTTGGTTTCCTGTCATAGATCTAGTCTTGCAGTGACATCCTTCAAGACTTGCCCAGGTCTGTCACACATCAGAAGAAGGGTCCAGACCCGAAACGTCAGCTTTCCTGCTCCTCTGATGCTGCTTGGCCTGCTGTGTTCATCCAGCTCTACACCTTGTTATATCAGAGGTACGACTGAGCCACTCTTGGTGATGGGCATTGACGTCCCCACCCAAAATATATAGTGCCGCCCTAAATGCTTCTTCCAACTGATGTTCAATGCGGATGATTCTTAATTCATCAAATGAGTTTAGTCCAGTAGGTGTTAATCAGTAGGAGCCTTCCTTGCCCATGTTTGCTGATGCCGTTTGAATTAATGAGATCCCGAATAAATGCTGAGGACTGTCAGGACAATTCCCAGCAACTGTATACCAGTGTGCTATCACTTCTGATTGGTTGGGACTTCCAGTGCAGCAGCAATTTCCAAATGACCATTCCCAATACCTTGTGGTATTTGCCACATCTGCCAGAAGAGGCACTTTTCTGAGGCAGCAAGAAGGTTTAAATCATGACAGCAATGAGTACAACTATGTTTGCTCAGGCATAATTACCAACAACTCAGGAGCTGGTGCAGATACACCTGCTCCTTCTGAAAGCTAGGCTAAAACTCCTCTCCACATACACACAGCAATGTAACAGAATGGGTAGTATCAAATGTAACGTGAACAATAACTCTTTCAGTACCATTGACATGTGCACCATTTTCCTATGATTAACAATTATACAATCATGTACATGATGATATTTTCTTTACCAGTGCTCAAGATCTCTGACTTCATAACTTCATGGGGTCCAGACTTTTCAAAAACTCTTTCAGAATGCACTCTGTTTGGATTCTCAAGAATGCTAGATCTTTAGTTTGAGTGCTGAGAGCTCTGGTTTTGATCTCCATTGAAGGATCTTTTATTTCTCAGATACTCTTGGCAGAAGAAGTTGCACCGTCTTGTTACCCCTTTTCCATTGTCTGGGAGACCTTTAACTTGGTGAATACCCATCAGCTAGAAAGTGTTTTCTTCCTTGCCGTGTACCTTTCTGATACTTTTTGTGCTCCTTTTCAGGGTATCCATTGTGGAAGCTTAAACTAGTCAATTCCTTCTTGTCAACCATGCCATGAATCTGTGGACATTGACCTTGCTGTCATGGAGTCACATGCAGCCCATCCTCATTGGTTTGTCCATCTGGCTGTTTTTGTTAATTTCATTCATGGGACGTAGATATCACTGGATGAGGCATTATGTATTGCCATGTCTAATTGCACCTGGAAATGAGTAACTTGCCGGGGCATTTCAGAGGGCAATAAAGAGTCAACCACATTATATGTCTGGAGTCATGTATGGGCTAGAAGAGGTAAGGATATCAGATTTCCTTCCCTCAAAGATGTTAATGAAACCAATGTATTTCTGAAACAATTGATAATGTTTACACGATCACCCAAGAGTGAGTGGTAATTTAAGAATCACTAGTGCTCCCGGGGAATGAGGAAATACCTGAATGATTCATTCATGATCGAAGTCCAGCAACACATTAAGGGAGTGAATGTCCAACAGGTCATAAAATGCTACTGACAGTTCTCAGGGAGCTCCCAGCCTCACATATGTGCAGCTACCCTAATACCTGTGGAAATCCAATGGCGGCAGTAAATCCCATCACTCTGGCCCTCGTACTCTATGGTGTTTTGCACAAAGCCTAGAAAACACATGACGAAAATTAATGAACATCATTGATGTAAATCTGAGTTCCGGTTGATGATGGATGAAAAGACGATTTTATTTTTACATCAGCAAGTTTTACTGCGATTGTATTTCTGTCATTACCAGGGGGCCTGTGGCTCTTGCTGGGCTTTCAGCGTGACTGGTGCAATCGAAGGACAGTGGGCAAAGGTCTGTAGAAGACTGGTTTCTCTGAGTGAACAGAACTTGCTTGATTGTGACAGAAGGAACCATGGATGCAGTGGTGGAAATAAAAAGCTCGCCTTTCGATACGTGAGAAGAAAAGGTATTGAGTCGGAAAATACTTATCCATACACAGCACAGGTAAATCACTTTACAATCTGTTTCAAATTCACCAGGTACAACATGTTTACGGCATTCATGGTGTTAGACAGTGTAACCCAGCACTAATCAAATGGCAGCTGACATCCTACTCTGGATCAATCCTTCGCTGAGAATCTGCTCCCAGGTTTCTGTCAGTGTCACTGTACAAGTAGCGTGAGGAAGGCTGAGAAAATATCACCTTTCAGGACAGGGCCAGCTCTCTCTCTCATTTCTCCCTTATCCTGTAACGACCTCCTGAATCGCCACTCAAAACCTCCTGGTCTTGTGTGATCGCTGAATAACAGACCACAGGGCGAGTGGTGGCAGGAAGAAGGTCCCAGGGTGAACAATGTGTATGATTGACATGTGGGAGGCTGTCAGTAGGGCCCTCCCTATTTCCCAATACCACATCCCTCTATAAAATAAGGACCCTCTTCTGGAGCCAGAAAGCAGCATCACAGAAATTTGCTTGTTGTGCTCCCTGTATGGGTTCATGCCAAAAGCAGCTGGGGGAGACCTTCAAGTGGTCAACCATTGCTGATCTAAGAGCCTCAATTGCTGGCAGATTAAGAAGACCATTCATAGACTGACCATCACAGACTTGTTCAGGGTATGGGCAAGTGCTTGTCACCCTCATGTCCAATGAGCTACTGCCTCTCCCACTGCAAATTCAGCACGTGGCAATGTATTAAATTCCATCCTGTTTTTTTTCTGGAAGCATACTACGTTCTCAGAAAGGCAAATGGGTGACACACTGACCAAAACCTTGCCTGTAGTTTGCAAGAGGAAGACTCTTCAATAGTTACTCTTAGGTTATGGAATAGGTCCCTGACCAGACAGGCATGAAACTTGGAGGCAGGTGCATGACCATCATCAGATATGATGTTCCAAAATAATGATCTTGTCTCATCTTCATTCACTCTGTCTATCTTAAGAAGTTAGTGGAGAAAGTCAGTAATGTCTGTTTAATGGACAATAACGTCAGTAAACGTGGAACCTGGATTATGCAGCACATTTTCATTTAAATATTTTGATGAGCAAAACACCGCATCATTGTGAGTGTCTGAGGGCTGACAAGTTGTCAGTAGAACTTTGGCAAGATATTCATGAACACTAACTTTCAATATTTCCTTTTAACAATTAGCAAGGACCCTGCAAATTTCAGAAAAAAAATACTGCTGCCATAATCGGCAGATACAGAAATGTACAAAGAGGTGAACATTATTTAGCGTGGGCTTTGAGAAAAATTGGACCAATCGCTGTTTCTCTTAATGCGCATCTAAAGTCCTTCCACTTATATAAAAAAGGTAAGAAATAGACTGTGTGGATAAGGTGTATTAATTGGACAATCTACAAATTCCACATAAAATATTTAAAAAGTCATCTGTATGCACACATTTCCTGTCAAATTGTTTGTTGGTGTTAATGCTGTCTCAATATGGATAAGGCGTACTATAAAGCTCATCCCCTTATTCATATTTCTCTCCTCCCCCGGGCTACAGGCAGCCCAGTGCTGCCAGACACCATGGGGTTAAATTTCAATCAGATTGGAAACTGAGCTCAGGAATGGTGATGGGAAATTTACCCGCTCCATTTTGCAGTGATGCAGGCAGCTCAGAAGTTTTGTGCTGTCACTAATGTAAATGACTGTGAGGTGCAGCTCAGTGATGATGTGCTGCTGAGTGAACGCACACCTTGGCACTGGGCCCAAGGACATGTGAGGCTGGCACCATTTAAAGCAGTCCACATGACTAAAAGACAACCCTGTCCCTCTTCAAGGAGCAGGGGATTGAACTCAAGAAGAGACTCTGAGCAGAAAGGGAAATGGAAATGGTGCAACAGGCCAGGCAGCAGTCCCGAGGGTCTCTGAGACAGCACTGGAGACCTTAGTACAGGAGGTGAACACAAGAAGAGAGGTGCCCTTCCTTAAGCGAAGTAGGGGGCCCTCCAGGCAGACACTGAGAAGGCAGAGAGAGCAGGTAGCTGTCATAGTCAATGCTACAGTTGAGATGTGGTTCCCCTGCACCATGGGGAGGACACTATCCTGGCAAAACCACTCTGCCTCCTCCTCTATGCTCAGAGGGAACACAATGGGCTCCCGTCTTCTGGTATAAATAGCATCTCTCACCTCTCTGATATGACAGTGAACTGGGAGATGTCAGACATGGAGTCTCCTCCAACCTGAATGGATCCTGTGGTGAAAATAATATCTGGGCCACAATCAGCTTCACAACTGCTGGCAGTGCTATCCTCAGCTTGCTCCGTTGTCATGTTTCCAATGGACCTTCAAAAGAGTCCACGGCAGCAGACATCCTGGACATTGTGTTGCAGGTTAAAACAGATACCTAGCAATGTGGGTAGAAGGTTGACGACCTTCAGCATTGTGCATGGGTAAGTGTCACCATCTTCTCTCTGTTACCTCAGATTTACAGGGCCACTACTCATTCGAACTTTACCACGGTCATCATGAAACACCTCACTATGCAGCACTGGGATATGACACTGACAACCTCACATCTCTCTCTCCTGAAAGGCATTCATCGTTATTCCACAGTTTCACTTACTGCTGTTTAATTCCAAAAACAATCAGTGGGACATTTAAAGCATAGATATTTGAAACCAGAATCACACAAGTGCATGAAGCATACAATCAGATGGATAGCATTGTATATATTCAGAAAATGCCAGTGACTGTAAAAAAGCTCAATATCCACATATCACGTGCACTAAGCAGAGATTGCTGCCCAGATTGATTGTCAACAGAATCTTTAAACAATGTAACAAAGTCCAAACAGTTCATTCATCCTGGAAACAGGTTCCAATTTGTGCATGCTCTGTGCAGCATGGGTCAAGTTGTGCTCTCTTGGATAGCTTTACCGGTCAATGTCCTCACTTCCTTTATTGTCACTAGCTATGTAGCATTTATTGCCCATCCCTAATTGCCTAAAGGGCAGTTAAGAATCAATCACATTGCTGTGGGTTTGGAGTCACATGTAGGCCAGATCAGATAAGGATGGCAGTTTCCTTCCCTAAATGACATCAGTGAACCAGATGTTTTTTTTCCTGACAATTGACAATGGATTCAAGGTCATCATTAGATTCTTAGTTCCAGATATTTATTGAATTCAAATTCCACCTTCTGCCATGATGGGACTTGAACCCAGGTTCCCCAGAACATTATCTGGGTTTCCAGATTTACAGTCCAGTGATAATACCACTAGACCATCACCTCCTTTCATCCTTACTGTTAATGCCTGGTTTCATCTACATCCAAGACATTCCCCTTTCAACAGTTCCTGTTGTGAAACATGTCACTGTGATGTAGCCCATTTTCACTGGGCTATTCTGCAAGACCCACACCAGACTGGGCCAAGCGTCAGAACCTTGTCTTAAATCTATGGTCTATTCCACTGTGACCCTGGTGGAAGGAAGCAAAGTTTCTTTGTTCTCTGATAGTCTGAGGTTTTCCGAAAAGTGTCATCAGCCATGTTTGAAGGAGGGGGTGGGGGTTTCCCCTTATCTCCCAGCAAACATCCCTGCATTGCCTGAGAATCTTAGAATAATACAGGAACCTGGGAGTTCCCTAAGATATAAGAATCATGGCAGGATACCTCCAGCTTTGTCACTGCTTGTTGTGCAGTATGGATAGAGTGAATGCCTTTTTCTGTTGAAGACCTCAATAAGTTGGTGACAATATACACTCAAAACATTGCGGCTTCAGTCGATGGCATCCTGGACCTAGGGCAAGCCTGCAAAGGTGGCACCAACACTGCCCACGTTGCTTGCCTCTCCTCAAGACAGGGGGGAGATTATGAGCAGAGATAGTAGGAACTGCCGATGCTGGAGAATCTGAGATAACAAGGTGTAGAGCTGGATGAACACAGCAGGCCAAGCAGCATCAGAGGAGCAGGAAAGCTGACTTTTCAGGTCTAGATTCTTCTTCATGAGCAGTTGTGATTTGGGGGAAACATCATCACACTGGGGAGGTGATGGCTTAGTGGTATTATCACTGGGCTGTAAATCCAGAGGCCTAGGTAATGTTCTGGGGATCCAGGTTCAAATCCTGCCATGGCAGATGGTGGAATTTGAATTCAATAAAAATCTGGAATTAAGAGTCAGATGATGACTGTGAATCCATTGTTGATTGTTTGTCTGGCCTTCATGTGACTCCTAACTTCCCTCTGAGCAATTAGGGATGAGCAACAAATGCTGGCTCAGCTAGTGAAGGCCTCCTCCCATGAATGAATAAAAACAAAGTTACATCTGGAATGTATGTATGTGCTCAGCATGACGAGATATCCTCAGCTGTGTTTAGAATCATAGAATCATCAAAACCAGGCTATTCGACCCATTGGGTCCACATTGACTCTCTGAACAGCATCCCACCCAGACCCAGACCCCCACCCTGGCTGTGGTCAAGTAAGTGCAAAGGAAATGAGTGCCGGGGGAAAGGCATTGGGAAAAGAAGAAAAGAGAAAGTCTGTGAAAGGGAATTAGGTGTGAATTGGTGCTGCAGTGTCAAAAGGAGTGATAGTGAGAGAAGCACAGTAAAAGGCCATGTGTTCCAGAGGAGATGTGAATGGCACAGGTGAGGACACTGGGAAACATTAGTAAAAGTGAGACAGAGTAATATCAGAGTAGAATGTTTTGCAAAGAGCATTATAGACCAGAAGACAATTGGAATGTAAAACACATCAATAAGCACAGGAAGGAAATAATGATCATATATTTGACAATTACGTTACATTAAAGGTGAGTGTCTCCTCACAGGAGTTTACGCTGATTCAAGATGCACCCAACGCCGAGGCCATGCAGTGCTCTTGGTTGGATATGGAAGGGAGAATGGAATGAACTATTGGCTGGTTAAAAACAGGTATGTACTTTATAGAAACAACAAACAGCTAATCAGAGCTGGGGCAGTCTCACAAGCACTGGATTTAGCCCCAGTGTTCCTGGGCTAGGGATGGAAACATTAGCCAAAATTCCCACTGCTGTCCAAAGGCACTGGAGAAGGTGCATAAAAATTCACAAGGACGATGTTAATACCGAGAGAATATATTTATCAGAAAATGCCAGACAGAGTGGAGCTTTGTTCTCAGGAATAAAAAAGTAAAGCAGTAACTTGATAGAGAATTTTAAGATAATCAAATGTTAGATAAAATAGGTGGAGAGAAAATATTTCCATTTGTGGGGCCTTCAAAATAGGAGCCATTAAAATAGTGGCAAGGCAGAATACTGTGGGGACTGGGAATGTGAAATAAAAACAGAAAACAGAAAGCATTGGCGAAATTTCAGCAGCATCTAAGAGGAAAGAGAAAAGGAGTTAATGTTTCAGGTCTGACAACTTTCACCAGAACTGGAAGAAGTTAAACATGTAACAGTTTTGAACAAGGGGGAGTGGGACAGAACAAAAGAAAAGTCTGAGAGTGTGAAAGAGAGGAGAGATTCAATGACAGAAAATACTGTCTTCTAAAGCTAATGCAACAGGAAAAGCAAGAGGAACTAAAGATGTGCCTAGAATAAATGTATGGCTATCTAAAAGACATAAATATGAAACAAGGAAATAAAATGGGAGTAGAGTTTATCGTTTGAAATTGTTGAACTCAATGTTCAGTACAGAAAGTTTACATTGCCTGATCAAAAGCTGAGGTGCAGTTCCTCAAGCTTATGTTGAGCTTTTCTGGAACCTCGCACAGGCCGGAGGCAGGGATGTCAGTGTCAGAGAAAGGTGTAGTAAAATAGGTGACCACAGGGCAATGGACAGACTGAGCTACTCAGAAAGCAATCACCTGATCTGCATTTGATCCCCCCATAGTACAGTAACCACGTTTTGAATGGAGATCACAGTACATTAGATTAAAAGTACATGTTAATCACTTTCACTTTGAAGAGATATGATGTGGACCTCAGACAAGGAAGAGAGAGCATAAGGGTTTGGTGTGATATCTCTTGTATTTACAAGGAAAGGTGTCATACAAAGTGATGGAGAGTTCAGGGTGACTGAAAAGTAGACCAGGGAATCAGAGAGGGAATAGCCCCTTGGAAATGCTAAAGGGAAGGAGAATATGAATTTTGTGATGGCATTGCACTGAAAGTGATGAAAACTGTTGTCCACATTTTCTTTCCATTTGTTTCATTGTTTGATTATTTTTCTTTCAGCCAGGCACACTTCTTCTTTCCTTTCTTGCTCCATCTCCATTCCCTTTGTCCATTTCTGTCATTCAGTCTCTCCTGTCTTCCACCCGTACCATTTTGTCCTCATCCCTCCCACTCCTTGCTCAAAACCTATCACATTTTTAACATTTCCCAGTTCTCAATGATGGACAAAAGCCAGAAGTTTTAATTGTTTCTCTGTCTCTCGACTAATGCAACCTATCCAGCTAAGAGTTTCCAGCAATTGCTAACTTCTGAGTATAAGATAGTCATTAACGAATCCAATCAGAACCACAGGAGGAAGGTCTTTACCCAGAGGGGGATGGTATTGGAAAACTATTACCATGAGAAGTGGTTGAGCTGAATGACACAGATATATTGAAGAGGAAGTTGGATAAACACATGAGGGTGAAGAAACAGAAGGAGGTGTTGACAGGGTTAGAGGAAGGGGACAGGGAGGAGACTCGTGTGAAGTATAAACACTGACACAGAGTGAATTTCCTGTCTCTGTGCTGCAGCCTGTGTATATATTTAACCAACATGAAACACTGTGTTTATCTGGATGTGAAGGCTTAATGGCAGAGCTGTCTGGGATAATATCATGTTTGGAGGAGGTAGATTGAAAAAAACAGAAGGTGCTGGAAAAGTTCAGCAGGTTTGGCAACATCTGTGAAGAAAACATCAGAGTTAACGTTTCGGGCCCAGTTCCAAGGAAGGGTCACTGGACCCGAAACATTAACTATGATTTTTTTCTTCACAAATCCTGCCAAACCTGCTGAGCTTTTCCAGCAACTTCTGTTTTTTTTTCCATGATTTAAAGCATCTACAGTTCTTTCAGTTTTAATTGGAGAAGGTGGTGGCTGGATTAGATTGGATGGTGGAATGTTTAGAGTAGGTGGTCTTGTGGTTCAGTAGGAAGGCTCCTTCCTGCCATATCTGAACTAAAACCTCCAAGTTCAAGCTTCACCCCAGGACTGGCTGGCCAAGAACATTCATCAGACACTTTATTGCCAACAGTTCATAATAAATCTGCGAATCCTTTGCACACTTTCATCCTATTCTTCAAAGGGGAAAAAATCTGAGTGGAGATAGGAAACATACAAAATATGGTTCATTCAGGTAGATATTATCAGTGCTTAATGGGTGGTACAATAATTTGGTGACATTTGAATGGGGTGATAGTATTTGGAGGCATGTTTTTAGGGTGGAGTAACCTTGCAGTGCAGGACACATGTGTATGTGAATGGACAGAGATTGGGTAACCTACAGCCACTATCAACTCAGCCACCACTCAGACAACCTCCTGTGGCAGGCAACCTCAGGATGATGTTAGTAAAAGCTTTTGGAAATTCTTCACCCCCATAAGGCCAGCAGGCAATCTCCAGGAGGCCACAACCACTAATCTCACTCATAAAATCCCTACAGTGTGGGAACAGGCCATTTGGCCCATCAAGTCCACACCAACCACCCCCCAAAGAGCATCCCAACCAGACCCACCCCACTATCCTATAGCCCTGCATTTCCCATAGCTAACCCACCTGGTCTGCACATTCCTGGACACAATGGGGAATTTAACATGGCCAAACCATCTAACATGCACATGTTTGGACTGCAGGAGGAAACCGGAGCACTCAAAGGAAACCCACAGACACAGAGAGAATGTACAAACTCCACATAGGCAATTACCCAAGGCTGGGATTGAACCCAGATCCCTGGTGCTGTGAGGCAGCAGTGCTCGCCACTGTGCCACTTACTCCCTTGCTACCTGCTCCAGTTTGAGATGTCTCCCCTCACAGAATCTCCCCTCATGCCATTTGGAAGCTTGTAGTGAATCCACACTCACTGTAGGTGCTGAAAACCTATGTCAGATATCACAATGATGTAAGTCCTAGCTTCTGGTTTGCAGCTTGTACGACTGTAGTCTAGTGCCACTCAGCTCTCTGACTCAAATCAGATAAAATATACTTGAACTGAATCTAATGTCTCAAAAGATCTCAATCCTCTCCCAGTGTAAATAACTCAATTCTTCACAACTATCTTTTGAAACAGCTTTGAAATGTTAAAACCAATTTCATTTTCTTGTTTGTCAGTTGGGGAACAGAATGGGGTGAAGAAGGTTACATCAAAATAGCTAAGAATAAGGGAAATCTGTGTGGAATTGCTAACCATGCAGTCTATCCAACCGTGAAAAGGAGAATGTGTAAAATCACAGTTTCATCGGACTCCGCCTGAAAGAATGAGGGAACCATTTCTGCTGATGTTGACTCATTCGATACCATTGCTTTAACTGTCTGCTGCAATTTGAAAAGTGGGATAATATCAGCTTCTGCACATTTCTATAGCTTCACATAAAAGGCCAATGTCATTGTGTGTTTGATACATGTAACCACATTAATATGTTAGTGACTACATTCTCCAGCTTGTGGAGAGACAATGACCCGCATGTACAGCTGCTGTTGAGCGATATAATAAACACTGCCTGTAATCACTTTGAGAGTCTGTTTATTCCAAAAGAACAAATATTGTTTTTTGATTCATGAATTGTCTTGTTTCCTTTGAAATTTAACATCCTAAAATCGTGTGGAAAAATGCACAGAACTTCGAAAAAAGCCTATGTTTTCTGACACCAGTACAATGAATGAACAAGTGCAATGGGGTTGTTGAGGTAAATAAGGTTTACCTGGAAACCCTCCTGGAAACAGAGTTTAATGTGACCAGACTGTAGACTGGCACCCTCCCTGTGAGATTGAGTTCAGACAAGGGCTAATATGTAATTTCATTCAGAGATTGGTAGGAAACAACATTGCATAGAACAGCAGGAAAACAAAGCAGTTTAAATATGACAAAATACATCATTTCCGAGTTAAAATAATGCAGTGCAGAAATAAGACTCAGATGTTCAGACAGCCAAAGAGTTTTTAGATTGGACTCATGTAGCAGGATTCAGTGCAGCTGACTCCCTGGGAGTCTGCGCAAGAAATTGAAATTCCTCTGTATCTGAAATCCATTGAGAGTGTTCATTAAAACCAAAGAATTCAAAAGGATCTTACATAAGTTTTATAGATACACCGGAAAGGTTAAAGGTTTAAAAATCTAGTCAAACTCCTTGCTAACTATTAACCAAATCATAAGACCATAAGATAAAGGAGCAGAATTAGACTATTCAGCCCATTAGGTCTACTCCACCATTTGATAATGGCTGATATTTTTCTGAACCCATTCTCCTGCCTTCTCTCTGTAATCCTTGATCCCTTTAACTAATCAAGGACATATCTATCTCTGTCTTAAAGACACTCAATGACTTGGCCTCCACAGTTTTCTGTGGCAGTGAGTTCCACAAATTCACACCCTCTACCTGAAGAAATTCCTCCTCATCTTAGTTCTAAAGGGTCATCCCGTTGGTCCAAGGCTGTGTCCTCATTTCCTAGTCTCTCCAACTAGTAGAAATATCTTCTCCACATCCACTCTATCTGGGCTTCTCAGCATCCTGTAGTTTTTCATGAATTTCCCTCTCATTCTTCCAACCTCCATCAGGTACAGACCCAGAGTCCTCAACCACTCTTTATATGATAACCCTTCACCCCCAGGATCATTCTTGTAAACCTCCTCTAATGCCAGCAAATCTTCCCTCAGATACGGGGCCCAAAACTGCTCATAATATTTCAAATACAGTCCGAACAGAGATGTGTACAGCCTCAGCAGTACATCTTTGCTCTTGTATTCTGGCCCTCTCGGAATGAATGCTAATATTGCATTTGCCTTCCTAACTTCTACTGAACCGGTACATTCACCTGAAGATAACTTTGAACTAGGTCTCCTAAGCCCCTTTGTGATTCACATTTCTGAAGCCTTAGCCCATCAAAAAATAGTCTATTCTTCCTGCCAAAGTGCAAAACCTCCTATTTTCCTACAGAGTATTCTACCCACCACTTCTTTGCCAACTTTCCTATCCTATCCAAGTCCTTCTGCAGTCTTCCTGCTTCCTCAACACTACCTGCCCCTCCACCTAGGTTTGTGTCATTGGTGACACCCCAACTCCATTTCCCATGATTCCCTGAGAATCCCACAAAGTGATTCACAACCCCTCTCTAACCCATGCCAGCCTGGTTGCAGCTGGCACCCTTATTATGTCAGGTCCTGTTGGAACATATACCACCTGGCTGGGAGTACTGGAGTCAACAGTCACCCATATATCAAGGTGCACCCCACCACCCCCAAACCCTCACCCAACCTTGCAGAGACGATACCACTTCCCATTCTGGAAGTGATCCTGATATCCTACCACCACCTTGTCCCTCCCTCAACATATCCAGATCCAAACCCCAAACCCCAAACCTACCCTCAGAACCCAGCTGACCCCTCTCTGCCTAACCCAATTGGCACATTACCATCTTACTTACGCACCTGGCACTCTATCTCCCTCACCCACATGGCACACTACTCCCTGACTCACTCACCTGGCAGCCCATACCTTCACTTAGCTTGAGCACTTACTGTTTCTCAGTCATGCACAACGTGCATTTGGGATCTTTAACTGTGGAGCACTGTGTGCTGTATTGGTCTCCACATATAAGGAAGGATGTTAGCGAATTGAAGGATGTTTACTAAATTAATGTCTGCAATGGGCAGGTCACCTTATAAAGTAAAGTTGAACAGGTTTGCCTCTATTATCCAAGGCACAGAGATTAAGAGCAGGGAGGTTTATATTAAAGGTAGAGCATTAGCATGGCTCTACTCTATATGTAAGTCTGAATACTGTGTAGGTAACCTTCTAGTCTGGATGCTTTCTCCAAAACGTGAAGCCAATTACTTTCCCTCCAAGATTTTGTCTGCTGTCTAAGCTAAATATTCAAATTTAGAACACAAAATTTTAGTACTGATATTCAGCAGACAATGATTCTGCATTCAGTTATTTGCAAAGAGATTTGTTGTAGAAACCCCTAAATAGACAGTAATTGTGATCTGGAATACATTGCCTGAAACTGTGGACATAGCAATTCTAACAGCAATTTTCTAACTGGAATGTATAGTCTCATGTAGCTATGGAGACAGATCGGGATGTGGGAGTAATTGAGCAATGGGGCAGCACGGTGGCTCAGTGGTTAGCACTGCTGCCTCACAGTGCCAGTGGGTTTGATTCCACCCTTGGGCAACTGTCTGTCTGGAGTTTTCACATTCTCCTCGTATCTGTTGGGTTTCCTCCCACAGTCCAAAGATGTGATGTTAGGCGAATTGGCCATGCTACATTGCCCATAGCGTCCAGGGATGTGCAGGCTACGTGGTTTAGTTATCGGAAATGCAGGGTTACAGGAAAATGGGTGAGTCTGGGTGGGATGCTGTCTGGAGGGTTGGTGTGGACTCAATGGGCAGAATGGCATGCTTCCACGCTGTAGGGATTCTATGATTCTAACTCTAACTAACTGTGCATCCAGGATTACAGTACCTCCTGGCCAAAACAAAAGGTTATGACTGGACATTTGCTACAAGCTGGACAATTCCATGGTCACATCCAACACCTAAACTGCCTACCTAACTCACTGAGATCTACAGATATGAACATAGATCTACAAATAGATGGGTCCCGACCCAAAATGTCAACTTTCCTGCTTCACTGATGCTGCCTGCCCTGCTGTGTTCCTCCAGCTCCACACTGTTTATCTCTACAAGTAGATGACCTGGTCAATGAAAGAGAAGACATTCTGCATAATGGCCTCATGTATTTTGGGCAATCTGTGCATCACATGTTGTGGCAGTAAATATGCAATGATCCAACTATGAACGTTACTGTAATGGCAAGCATGGGCCATCAACATTAAACTTCAATCATCTGATCTGAATATCTGAAACCTTCGTGGAATTCAGTGTTTTTTTTATATATGAAGTACAAATACTGACCTAAAATGTCAGCTGTGAAGTCCAGGAAACCCAGGTGTAGTACACTACACTGGCTGCACAGAAAGTGTCATTTCATCCAAAGACTGATGAAACCCAACAACCAAGTTAGCATCAAGAAATTCACATCTATATTGAGAGATGAATTGTTGTCTGTGGAGCATTCAGCTTGGAAACACAATGGAGTAAATTCTGGTCCTGTGCAACAAACTATATTTCATTAATTTGCTTGGCAGAGCCGAGAGAGAGAGAGAGAAAATTAGATTCAATTTTGGAGACGTTTGCTCTCACTCTCTCTCTTCTTTCTTCATATCATCTTGCAAAAGAATGGGCTTGTAAACAGATACTTGAGAAAACAGCCATTCCCTGAGAGCTCCAAGATTCTACAAATTTCACTCCTACTGAGGTGATAAGGCAATAACTAAACAATTGCCTACTCAGGTCTCAATCTGACACATCCAGGACTCCAAGGTCTTTCAAATTGATCTTCTTTCACCTTCATATTCAAGCTAGACATCTTCCCCTTTTCTTTTCAAACTTATTACCTGCGTCTCTGTTTGATGTTGTGATTTATCACTTTTGTTCTTGGGGTAGTAGGTAACAAAATTCCTCTTTCTTTCTCTCAAGGGAACCTTGGAATTAGCTCCTTCGTTTTGGTGCAGATAAATAAGTTTTATTTGAGGTGTGAGAGCTGTGTTTTAAAAAGAAATAAAACTATTTGTTGTGAGCCAGTTGGATTTAAAAAAGAAGAGATGAATCACCCTTCCTCAGCTGTTGCAACAGGATACAGTTTTGCAGACAACTATATCACTTTCAGAATATTCAAAAGATGATAAGACCATTCTGGCTCAGTCAGAATATCTCAAGGAGATTTTTGTTAAGGGAAAGCATCATTCGATGGTCCATGTGACCTGATACTTTCCAGCAGTTGCAACAGATACGCATAAGAAATGATCAAACTAGAAGCTTGGCTGGGAAGATGGAATATTAGCCAGGAAATTGCCAAGGCATAAAAAAGCTGGTCAGAAATGAAGGCGTGCTAAATCTTCATGCTCAGCAACTTTGCCTCAAAAGATACGCACACACCCATGGGCCATGCTCACTACTGACTTCTTCAGGTCAGGGCTTGATTTCCTGATCGTAATGGATTATATTTGTAATGTTTTCTTATTACCCATCATGACGTGACACATTGAGTATGACCAGTGCTAACACATTGGCATTGATTTTCAGTCCATTCAGGGCACCATAGGAAGGTGATCTGACACCATCTCCAATAGTTATCAATTACCATCCCCAATAACCATTTACAGACATCCCCAAAAACCATTGGCAGCCATCCCCAATAACCACTGGCAGCCATCCCCATTAACCACTGGCAGCCATCCCCATTAACCATCATAGTCATCCCCATTAACCATCAACAGCCATCCCCATTAACCATCAACAGCCAT